GAAATAGCGCAAAAACAGGAAATATGGCATCTAAAATGTAAGTCTCTTAATTAACTTCTTGCTTATAGAACTGTTGTAAAACAAATCAATATCACATTTGTAATCATGGTAATTTTTTTGAGAAAAACGGCACTCTTCGTGTGAAATTAACTATATGAAGTGGTAAAAATATATACATTTTCTGCCCCCATGTCTTGAATTTGTAATCATTCTAAATGCATTTAATAGACTGAATCATGCAGTGAAAGAATGCACTCGAAATGCACTTCACGTGATGTATGCGTGCGCTCTGTAAGGGTGTTTTGAATGGTTTTTGCAAAATATTCGATAATGTCAAATCGCACATCGTTAAAACAACAATTACGATATTATCGCAGACGATATATATCGCACACCCCTAGTGGTCACTATGCTTTGTCTGTTAATACAGATCGTTTGATATGTACGAAGTATTTGTGCATGTTTGACCTAAATCACAGCAGCGTCCATCTATGAGGAATGTTGCTGTCAAACATACACAAGTGTTAGCCAATCATTGCAGTGGGCGTCTACTTTCGAGTCTACAATCCGCCATGCCTATTTAAACAGAACATTCTGATGAGGGGGTCAAAAACAGGACAGAAAATAGCCTATTACTCGTAAATTGTGATGTTATTTTATGTAAAAATCTTGTTAACATTATAAGGGGACCTCAGAGAACAGTACAAAACAATAAAACAGGCAGTTCATGACCCCTTTAATACTTGGTGTAAATAGGACCTATGAATTTTTCATGCTAACACCATACACTTGTAACTTACATAGAGCTGAATTCATGCATTCATTTGTCAGGGGCTTAAATGGTTATTTTAAAGATATCAGAAGAAGTATGAAAAATGTCCAGCAGTTGCCTCTAATATTAGTCCAGACAGCAGTTTCCTGCAGGTCTTCCTAGCACAGCGAGTCCCTGTCATTTATTTTCAGGAGTGATAATGGCGCTAACAACAAACCTTCGTTGTGAAGAAGCTGGCGAAGCAAATGCCAAGCTAACGCAGTATTAGCCATTGACTCTTGAAAACTTGCTCTATATGATGACATTGTCTTGCTCTCTGCTATGTAGTTGCCATCCTGTCTGCTGAGCTTCTGCTCAGCGTGGCAAAATGATTGTGGAATTCCGCCGTCCTGGCGCATGCACTCTTCTGCTTCATTTCACACTCCCGTAACAGAAATGCAATGTCAACACCAGGATTCCACAGAGTCTAACAAATTAGATTGCAGGGCTAGAAACTAGGTGTAATGTGTTAATATAAATGATCAGCACTGAACCTGGACTAAGTTTTATGTGGGGGCAGGTGTGGTCATTACTATTAACTTGACAGAATTTGCTGTTAATATCAACTTTTTCAGTCACAGAATCAGACTTTTCTTGCAGAATGCAGCACATTCACATTATTAGTTCATTCCATTAATGAATTACATTTGTTTTTATCGTACAGAAGATCATAGGTCAAAATAGGAACAGCTATATCGATTTGTACTTTTTTGACTTCTTTTTTTGCATTCAAGTCATTTTAGCAGTAATCTGGAAATGCCACCGTACAGACTGTGAGTTCACTGCGCTGAACCGAGGACATTATTCCCATCTTAAGTATGTCTAACATTATTCCCCTCCACTGGCTGAAAGCACTCTGATAAATAAACATTGAAGCAATCCAAATTTATGCCGGTCTCCAAGCAACAAGAGTCATTGGAAATTAATACTCAACCCAACAGGATGAAATTGACAGTGTACTGTTTGCTCCCCTGAATGTAATTGGCAGCCTGAAGCTATTAAATTAAGCAGTCTGATGCTTGAACTGAGCTGTTTGAAGAAAAGCTTAATTTTTTTATTTCCATATTTCCTTGCCAGATGATAGTTAGTGGCCTCCTTTCCAGCAAACATGACTAAAGTAAGATTAACAGATCTTACCGGAGTGATGCTGACATACGATAGACACACTCATTTTGCCTCTCTCTTTGTCATGGTGAGAATTTTCTTTTGACTTTGGAATTGATTTTAAACTGCACTAATGATTTTTTGGACTAATGAGTCCTTTGTGCATTTTTACTTTTTCATTAAGACATCTTTTTTTTGTTTTGGTAACTGTTTTCCCTCAACAAGACAGTTGACTTTCCCCCAAAATGTTGGTGATTTTAGGTTTTCTGTCCATGTGGTGACATTTGGTCCCTATTATGTAGGCAAAACCTAACCGACTACCCCTACACACACAATTACACACTTCCATGATTAGTGTGTTTCCAAACACTCATTGAGCTGTGTATGAACTATATGGATTATTAAAATCCATTACACATGAACCATTTGCTTTGCTTTCAATATTTTGTGGATGCAGTGTTGGTTGATACAGAATTATTATCTATATGGTGTTGCTAAAGTCTGCAAATCTATTGATACTTCCGAATTTTGTGAAAATATGTCAAATTGTTCAGGCTCATACTGAACTCGCTTTCATTTAGGTTGCAAATGAACACATTCCACATTGTTAAAACTTAAACAGCCAAATGTTTTTCCCATAATATATCACCATACCCTGAAATATCACCCAGAAATGGGATTTCCGTTGGCTTGCTAGAGAGAAGATTAGGACTTTGTCTTTGTCCTTAAATTTCACCAGAGCAATAATTAGCTTCATCTCAGCAACTTGATTAGAGCAGTGTGGGCTGCCCTGCCATACTTATCTCTCTCATCTCGCAAAGGTTGCCAGGCAACTGCAGCAGAACATCATGACAAATGTTTACTGCAACAAAACTTACCAGATGAGTAATTTTTCACCCTCATCAAATAGTAGGTGAAAGACAGTACTTTCAGACAATTTAGCTGTAAACCGCAGCTTGCGAAAGCGATCTCTTTGTGAAAAATTGTCAGCGTTAGGTATGACAAACTTTATTTGAGAGAAATGGATGCTAACCACCGACAATAACCATTTGACTTTCAAATTCTATATTGCTCCATGTAATTAGGCTTTTATGGCTTCTGTATAAAACCCAGGGTGTATAAAATTGCATGCCGATTACAAATGGCAGATTTTTTTTCAGATTTATAAAAAGGTACATATGGCAGAATAGTAGGAGTCTGTGTGTACATGCATGAGCTTTTTTTATTACGCATCTACACACATTTAGTATAGCCTTCTAGAAACTAGGAAAATAGTAGTGTTGTGTTCGATACATCGATACGATGATGTATCGTCACAGAGATTTGACAATACGAGTATCGATACAGCTGTCCCTGTATCGATATTGTGGCACGTGGGCAGCAGTGGACCGTGCTTAATTTGAATACAAGAACAACATTTAAAATTGAGCAGAAAGGTTTCTAAAAAATAATGAATAGAGCATAATATATGGCTATAACAAGGTTTAATCTGGCCGCAGAGGAACACAACTGGGATGCCTGATATAAAGAGACGTAAACCCCGAAACAGAGCTTCCCACTTGCGCAATACGGAAATATCTGCTAAATGTGTTACTTATCTTTGTCAACCTGGCAACCATGTGCACGCGCGCTCTCTCGCCACTGTGGATAAAAGCGCATGCTTTCTGAAAACACCGGTTTTAGTTTGCAGTTTAGCGATCTCCACTTCAATATTCTATTTTCAGAAAAGTGTAATTCATCAAGTGTTCATATGAGAGAGAGAGAGAGAGGGGGGGCTGTGTATGTATGAATTACCACCGTTTTGCCGCGTTTCTCTATTAACAGTCTCTATTAATTCCTTTAGAAACAATATTGTTACCAGGTCCTTGTTGAGAAAGATAATGTAGCTCTTGAGCGATTAAGCTATTTAGTTGATAAAAGAGGTGAAATTCAGTGCAGTCCTGTATCATGATATGTATCGTATCGTGGCCTCTGTATCGTGATATGTATCGTATCGTGACTTTGCTGGTGATACACAGCCCTAGAAAATAGACTGTAAATGTTACCTGTGTCTGTAAGATATTACACTGCATGTTTATAATCCGTACAAATATTTAAGCATCTTTGAAAAAATATAAGTTTACCTGAGAAGAAGAATTGTTTGAGATTGATTGAGTTTTCATTGAATGTATCTTTAAAATTATTATTATAATACTATATTATTTTCACCACAGTGGCCAATTTTAGGGATAAACTTCATGAGTTTAGCTTTTCAGGTAAATTGATATTTTTTGGATTTTTTAAAAATGTCACTCTTTTTTTTTTTTCCAGTGTGACAAATTGCAGGTTTGGAATAGGTCTTCAATTACACAGCTAACCTGTTCTTGCAACATACTGTGAAAAATCTTGTAATGCTCAACAGTTTTCTACAACATTATTCTTGCTTGCCCATAAGACAAAAGTGCATGCTTTGCATCTCTGCAGGAAAGAGAAACAACCAAACGAGGCTGATATGAACTCCTCCAGGCCACTGCCGGACTCAGCAGGGGGATCGAGACCTTGTAAGAACCAAGGTCACAAAAGCAAAACAATCCCTAATCAACCACCCTTCTTTGTAAGTCTGCAATGCTCGGTGTATGAAGAATGGGCTTTATTCATTTCAACGCCCCCCTTTCTGGCTCCAGAATTCCTGGCTGACATTCCCTCAATCTTCCAGCTCCAACAGACCTCAAAAGGAACTATTTTTCCTCCCTCGTGGAGTCTGGCCCAAGGGCATCGCCGTCCCGTATAGCCTGGAGTTCCTGCACCCTTTTGGCCTAAAGATGCTGTGTCTTTAAAACAAAGGACTCTAACAGCTGTCTATATCTGGAGTGGGGAATGAGGGCGAAAAAGAGAGAGGGAGGGGGTACTGCTGCTGCTGCTGACTTTGTTTTTTTCCCCTTGCCTTTCCAGCCTGGAATGCCCTTGTGACAACTGCGTATCAGTATCCAAAGTGCTGCAGAACCGCAGTGTTTTCACAGCCCTGCGAACTCATTCCGACTGTGTTTTTTGTGAACCTAGCTCTTGTTAGAAAATCCACATTCCTCCGTTACGGCGGCACTCCTCCGTGCCGTTGCTCCCGTGTTGCCATGGCTTGGAATTAGGACGAAAAGCATGGTGTACACAAACACAGGCTGGCAGGCCATGTGATGTTGACCACCTTTGGACCCAGTGGAGACTGGCTGTCTTATGATGACGGGCCAAAGGTCTCTCCTACGCCACACACACACACACACACACACACACACACACACACACACACACTCTAGTTGGGCTCTAGACTTTCTATGTGAGTGCATATAATATGCATTTCCCTCTAAAAAAGTTCCTACCGCTCAGCACGGTTGCAAGGACGACTGTCAGTTAAAAAAATAGTTCACCCAGAAATTAAAATTCTGTTTCATTTAATCAACTGTATGTTATTACAAACCTGTACAACTTTATTTAGTATTTATATATTTTAAAATATGTCTGTGTTACTTGGTCCATCCAGTCAAAATCAGTTGGGACAGAATTTACATTTTTGCGCGAACTATGCCTTTAAAATGTGAAGTATCAAAAACCTTTTAATTTTACACATCCTAGAGCCTTGTAATTTTACAGTCACTAAACAGATATGAGTGGATTAGCCAAAACATGATACGCTAGTATGTAGGGAGAATCTGAATCTGAATAACCGAATAGAATGAAGATGTCCCAGTTTAAACTGTACAGCTGTTTAATAAAACATAGGCTGCTGATAGACTGCTGGCACTTTTTTAAAGATTCATTTGGGGACTTAAGATATGCAAAATATGTCCTACTGTTACATCCTGTCTGTTCAGAATAGGGAAGTAGAAGAGGTGTTAACATCTCTATATAGCAACTTAATGCTGAGTCTCCAAGCTGGCAATGGAGTAATGGAGAGAGATTTCCAGCTGTACTGTTGTGTTGCTTAAGCATTTTATTTGCTCTTCATTGCAGGATTAGATTTAACTACACAATTTAAGCACTGAAATGGAGGATTTATCAAGTCAGAATGCATTTGGTTATCCATATTACCCGTTTTCACTGACAAAGCTGAAAGACCTACATAGTTGGTCACTGCTGCCTTATATACATATACGTATATGTATAATAATGTGTGTATATGCATGCATATGTAGATTCTATTATTATATTACAACCCTCTACGGACACCATGGCAATTGAATCGCCATTGGCTAGTAAATTTTTTTGTTTACTTTCCATATAACCATGAACTTAGGACTGGTGCTGGTGCTTTTTTTGGTCATTCAGTTTTCCTGTAAAAAATTGCACAAAAAAAAAAACTAACAATAATACTGATAAGATATTATTATTATTATATGAATTCTACTAATAAGAACAATATAAAGTGCACCAAGGATTAACAAGCTTCTGGATTCATGAATATTAATCAGGTTGTGTGTGTTTGCTCAAACTGATTTGCTGAAATCTAAACAGGGACGATAGTAGGTGAGCACCAGCCAATGAGATTGTCGTTTGCGCATTAGTTCCGCCCACTACAGGAAAACCCGTCAGTTCTTAAAAGCTGAAGAATTCCAAAGGAACTCCGTTATTTTGACAGGAAAATAAAACAAAGAATATCGTTTACATGTATCACATCAATTCTGCATGTTATGTAAGTCGCATATGCGAGTGATTTACTCGCAATGTAGAGGGTTGTATTATATACTACAGAAGTTCTCTGATCTTTTATAATGTGATATAAAATGTCTCACATTAAAAACAGCTTTAAACTATTTAATCACTATCAAGTCAAACATAATGTTAACCATAAAGACATCTTGGTCCCTCTAGTTGGCTGGGATTCAAATTGACTTTATGTTCAGAGTCACTATAGTGTCTAGAATGATAAAGTTGTAGTATCCTCCTTCAGTGTCAGACTCTGATTTAGAAGTGGTCTGTCAGTGACAGACATAGAGCTGTTTCAGCTTCAGTAAATCTCTGATTAAAGAACAAATGGATTCATTCATCCATGCTGCAGCAGCTGTATGCTGTACTTTTGTTGCTTCCAGACCAAGAAAAAAGAACACAAGAAAATTAAATTGAGATCTAAAAAAACTAATTTTGTTATGTGGAGGTCATAAGAAAATCAAGTCGTGAGTTTGAGAAAACAGCTGTTGTTATTTTAAAAAGATAGTTCACTCATTAATAAAAATTCTGTTAAGATGTACGCACACATAATAGTTTTTTCCTCATACAATCCAATGCTATGGACAAAAGTAAATAGTAAAAGGAAGAAGTCGTCATACAGATTTGGAATGACATGGGGGTGAATATTAAGACAAGGGCAAATTAAGACAAGATCATGACAAAGCAAGAAAAAATGCATGATATCTTAGGGGTTTTTTCACTCAGAAAACGTTTTTCCATTCCACTTTTCCATAGTTTTTCAATTTAAACATGCTAGACAAACACTCTTATGCAGGATCTTGTTGTGTTCTAAAGATGCAGTGCTGAAATTAAAATAAGTTCAGTTTTTGAAAAAATGTGTCTCGAGACATTGCGTTTTTCCCACATTCTACTGCCTGTGTCTCGCATTTTTCAAAGAAAAAAAAACATTCTGTGTGGATGGCCCTATAGGGCTTCCATATGGCAGTGATTGGAAGCCACATTTCTCCAAATCACCTATTTTGAAAATTTCATTTAAAGGAACAGGTTCTTTTTCTAAAGGAAAAAAACGTCTCAGGTTACGTATGTAACCATGGTTCCTCGAGGGAACGAGACGCTGCGTCGGAGGACCCCCAACTATTCGGAAGGCCAAAAAGGAAATAAATCATACAGAAAGGTTACAGCTCCCCGTGTTTAGTGAACCAACCTTCCATGCTTCTGCTTCATTATTGGAGATGTAACTAATGGTTCTGATCCATACTGTACTTGTCCATTTTAAACTGCCCAACCTGTAAAGGAATTTAAAATTTACCTAACAAGCTTGCAAACTATATATATTTACATATATTTGTATTTTTTGTTACGACCCACAAAGCCGCTTTTATAATATATGCTTATACAAGATCTCTTAATCTCTTTCTATCACTCTTCCACATATTCTCTCTCTCTGTATCTCAGTAGGAAAGTAATATATTCCAAATAATCTAGGCTAAGTAAGAATAAGCTTTATTAGCTTTCATTAAGCCTCCTTGCCCACTGAAGAGCCATATAAATAGTTATTTCCTTTTCCTGATAACATTGACTTATTATGACTCGATCCGAAGCAAGGACACACTGCAGGCTCTCTGTGACATGAGACTTCTCATAATGGCTCACAAATTGGACGAAAATAAATTAGAATGCGCATGAATATCAAGGGCACATTTGGTGAGGAAAGGGGTCAATTAGTTTTAATGTGTGATGGTTAAAAGCAGTGGTTCACAAAAAGTTTACCATATCTTTTTTATGTTAAAGTTTCTGCATTCAATCCATCTCAATGGTATGTTCAACCTGGTCTTATGAAAAATCATAATAATTTATATGAGATGACAAAACCAAGTTGGGTTGTACAAAAACTACCACCCTAACCCAAACATGGCTGTATGAATGTTCCCATTACAATCAAGTTGTTATGTTATGTGATTTTACCATCTTGTACAAAATATTACAAGCTCCATTAGAGAGTGTTGGGTATTTTCGCACAGATTCATCTGTCACTTGGTAGAACCTAACCAAATGTGGTTGATGCCAGCATGGACAGGTTGTGCATACATACAGGTTCCCATGATTCCTGATGGTTTGTGCTGACCACAAAGTGTTTTGTTTGCTGGTGAGAACATGAAACCAATAAATTCAAAAGACCAAAATTTGACAATTGTCTTTTTCATTGTAAGTTCACAAGGTTTGCATGTTGCAGTTGCATTTCATTGTAATATTAATAATTGCAATATTAATTTAGCGTTTTTGTAGCTGTGTTAGGTAGCCACAGAGGAGCACTTATGAATGGTAAACAGAATGCAGAGGAAAGCAGTATGACTGACAATATATTATAACGCAAGAGCTTGCCAACCTGTTTCTGACCTCTCTGTGCCTGGCAGATGGTATTCATTCTTAAAAATGGATTTGCAGTACAACCTCCCCCTCCTCCCTAAGGGTACATGACTGGACAACAAAATCTTTATTGGGAATTCTGCTCAAAAGTTGTGCCATGGAGCTCATCACAGTGTGAAAGTATGTTGTTGTTTGTGTGATTTGTTTTCTGAATGATACACAGACAGCCTGTTCTACTGCACTATGTTCAGAGAATAGATGGTTATGTAAAGGGGTCACATTCACAACATTGATTCTGCCTGTAATGCTGTAAACACTACATGTGAAACACTGGACCAGAGTACAAAAATCTGAAGCTTTATAGTCTTAATATTTATATGTTGGCTAAAACGTTAATTCTCTTCTGAGTTCTAGGGCTACAAAATGAGCAGCTCAGTTGCAATTAATACTAACTAACCTTATTTACTGAAGTACTGTTAATTGTTGAGAGACTTGACAAATAAAGTGTGATTGAGCTCAGAATTATAGTGGTAACTCAAGGGTTCTCAAGATCTCTTTTTTTATGTCACACCTACCTTTAACTGTAGATTTGATAGCATAAGCCTGAACATTTTAATTAATCATGTTTGTATAAGCGGCAAAACAACTCATGACTCAATGCATCTTTCCCCATAAACCAATTAACTAAAAGCTCAACTAATTAAGTTTCATAATATTGAAATGAGACATGAATACATGATGCGCAATAAGTGGCTTTGTTAATTGGGCATTGTTCTGGTTTTCTTTGTTTGGATAATTTCTTGGCTCTTTTGCTGCTAAACGAATTTATTTGCCTCACAGGACTGTGCAGTTCCTTTTGATTTGATTGTTAGATTGTAAGACTTGTTTCATGCCATGGACAAATAATTAAGAACATCTTTTCTGCTTCCAATTAATATGTGTCTGTTGTTTCTTTCATGGAATAATACAAAACTATGGCTTTGGAGAACGTATTTTTTAATATGTAAGTAGTATGACATATTTAAAAGAATAATATTAATTGTTTGAGTATTCAGATCAGTCTGTCATAGCAACAGTGGCTACTGTATGACAGTGTGTTTGGGGAGGGAATATTTGTTTGACCAGTTATCACTGGTCCAGGAAACCTGTTTGGAAATCATCACTATTTTTGCAGTTCCATGATGCTAGTGGTGCAGAAATCACACTTCACTATTAAATAGTACATGAAGAATCTACAAGCTACATGGACTGTTATACCCTCAGATTTTGTTTTAAGATGCAAGGCTAAATGTGCGTTTTCATGAATGGCAGGAATTTTTGCATTTAGATGTACAACAAAATTTTGATAGCTAGGGAGGGACGATATACCAGTGCTGTTGCCAGTATTAGTGATTTGTTTTTGTAGTTATTTATCAGTATAATCAATATTCCATATTTAAGGCAAGGAATATGGGTTAAAATAACTAACAGGTATCTACTTCCTAAGTTGATTGCAAACATTTATTGTATTATGGTTTTACTGAAATGTTATGTTTAAACATGCAAATTAGGAATGATCTAATTAATTAGATAAAATGTCTTTTAAAAATATGTATTTCTATTGAAATCTACAGACGCAAATAGATAAAGTGCAATAAAATAAACTCTT